AGGACCTATGGGTACTATCATAAGATAGCCCTTGAGGATCTATGGGTTCTCCCATAGGATAGCCCTTGAGGAGCTATGGATACCCTCTTAGGATAGCCCTGGAGGACCTATGGATACCCTCATAGAATAGCCCTGGAGGACCTATGGGTACTCCCATAGGATAGCCCTTGAGGATCTATAAGTACCCCATAAAATAGGCCCTGGAGATCTCTCCCTTAGAGTCTTATTTGACCTTTGACCTTTGACCCGGCACAGAGAAACAGACAGACAGATTGACACTGAACATTATATATCCGTTTCCAGCCGGTTACTAGAAGGCAAGTAGCAAAAAAATCTTTTTATGGATTTTCGTTGCTCCTAGACCATGGAGATAGGAAAAGTTTATTTCTCAGAACCAATAAGTGTTTCGACATCTAATGGTTTCATGTATCCATTTGGATACATCCGGCCACTAAGGGACAAATATTTTGAAAAAGTCATTTCGTTTTGTCTAGCAAAATTCGATATTTTATTTTGTTTTTTACATTTATATTTGTAGATGCAATCACACGTTGCCTCTTTGTCGATAGTTTTCAGTCCAAAGCTTAAATTTTTGTAGAATGTTTCAAGATACTGCAGTATGGTGCAATAGTAGCTCAATTTTTTCCGAAAAATTTTTGGAAATTCAGAAACATTCTAAAGAGTTTCTGGACATACTGTAGTGTTCAGAACTAGGCTATTACGAAATATTCAGCAGCTATCTACAATTTTCCTGAATTTCTAGAAATTTTCGGAAAAAATTGAGCTACTATTGCATCATACTGCAGAATCTTAGAGCATTCTACAAACATTTAAGCGTTGGACTGCAAAACATCGACAAACAGACAACGTGTGATTGCATCTACAAGTATAGATGTAAAAAAAAAACCATAAAGTATTGAATTTTGATAGGCAAAATGAAACGAGTTTTTGCAAAATATTTGTCCCTTAGGGGCCGGATGTATCCAAATGGATACATTCCCATTTTTTATTATTCTGGTTTTTTAAATAATCCGTCTTAGTGATGCAATAGACTATAGGTCTATGAAGGAAAATTAACAACTACTTGCTTCGAAGTTTGATTATTTAGAGGCACAAGAAAAGGATTATTTCTATACGGACGCTATTTTGGAGCATTTGAGGTAGAGCCAACCATTTTCTTAGTGAGTGTTTTTTTTCCTTCTTCTAGACACGTGAATGTGTGTTGAATTGTGTTAACTTATTTATCAAATCGTCAAAACATTTTATATCATCACTACAAGTTACTTCTTCGTAAAACATTGGCTTAATGTATCCAAATGGATACATCCGGCTGGAAAGGGATATATAGATTTTTTGTATATTGTTGACATAGAAAATTGTATTTTTTATTTTTCTATTATTATCAAAATAGAAAAATAAGAATTAAAAATAAGATTTTCTATATTATTAATATAAAAAAATGAGAAATAAAAATAGGTTTTTCTATATTATTAATATAGAAGAATAAAAAATGACAATTAAGATTTTCTCTATTATTGCTATAGAAAAATCAAAAATTAAAATTGAGATTTTCTATATTATCAATCTAAAAAATGAAAAACAATAAATAATATTTTCTAAACTACCAATTTAGAAAAACAAGAAATGAAAATTTAGATTCTTATATTATTGATATAGAAAAATAAGAAATAAAAGTAACTGTTATCTATTTCGCGAATATAGAAAAATTAAAATTAAAACTAATTGTTATCTATATTATCAATGTAGAAAAATAAGAATTAACAAATATAACTTTCTACATTATTAATATAGAACAATGAGAGGTAAAAATGGCGTTCTCTATATTGCCAAAATAGAAAAACAAGAAATAAAAATGGGAATTTCTATACTACCAGTATAGGAAAAATGAAAAATAATGAATAGGATTTTATATAATATCAAATATAGAGCAAATGTTGACTGTACTTGTTCTAAAATAAGACTGAAGTTTATGTGCAAAAAAACGAAGCAAAGTAGCCGATCAGACTGATCATTTCCATGTGTATAAGAGATATTTGAGAAGTTTGATTTAATTGAAATAAATCTATAGTATTAATAAGCATTTCATATAGCTCTATGTCATTATCTATAAGTAGAATACAAAATTACCTACTAGAGTTTTATGTCTCCCAATCTCTTTGATTTAAAAAGCAGAAAGTATTGTTTTGTTTCTGACTCTCATCTTCGAGTTGTTTGACACATAATTAAAGGTCTCATACAGTTTTACACGCATTTGTTTTTTATCGATGGAAGAAAAGAAATAATACTAAAAGGTACTTTCTTCCAATTGCACTGAGACATTAAACATATTAAAAATACATGACATTACATGTAATAAAAATGAAAATTGATTAAATAGTATTAAATTTAATCAAGATTTCAATTATGGCTAGATTCTTCATAGATAAATTAAAAAGGATGAAATTATTTAAATTATTTTTAGGGAGTTTATAAAACTGCATGACATTTTTTATTAACTTCATCGGTTCCGTAACTGTCCATTCAAGATATAATCATAGAAGTATTGTTTCTAGTCTAAAGCTCAAGTCAGTATCAATATAAATCTTTAGAAAATTCTAGACAAACAAAAAAAAACTTTCTTCTAAGATTTAACCAGTTCAGAATGCGATACAATAACAATTTGAAGAAGAAATCTTCACACTTATTGCTATGGAGAATAGCTAAAATCATGATGAGATCTTTTACGATCATTGCTTTTTTGTGAGAATCCACAAAAATTTACACCTATTGAATAACCTACAAAACATAAGCTTGCAAAGATTTTAGATCAATGTTTCGATAGGAGATTCATATTGTCTTGTAAAGAAGTGAAGATATTTAATTGTAGAAAGTTCGAAATCGATCCGTGATCGAAACTGCTTTTGTTTAAAAAACCGTGTCTCATATCCTATTAAGTTGAAAATTTGTCATACATTAGAAATGAATTCAAAATAAAAGAATTGATTGATTCGTATATAGATTATTGTTTGTGCTACAATGCAGAATAATAAACATGACAGATTCTTCAAATATTCTTGAAGTTGAGAAAAATTTGTTTTGGAGTTCTTCTTATCTACTAAAATTTGAACTTACGTATTTTTTATCTAAACTTATCTTATTTAGCATTTCGATTAGCCTTTCTACAAACTACTTGTTTGTTTGAGATTCAGGAATAAATTACTCAATAATAAGTATGATGCAAAATTCATGGCAAAAATACTTTCGAATGGTGTATGATTTATATTTGTCACACATTCGTAAATTGATTGAGATGAGTAAAAAAAGAAAAATACTTGCACAACAACTTTCTAATTTTTGTATGAATCAGTCAAAAATGTCTTATGCATGGTAGTTAAGTATAATTAACTATCGTTATTATCTAGCAAGATGTTTTTAACGAATTCATATAAAAGTGGCAAATTTATTTTATCTCATTTCACTCAGAAATATGTGACGAACATAAATCATACACCGTTTCCTATCAACTGATAACAAAATTGTTTTTCCTTACGTTCAAATTCTATTATAACTCATTTTATTGTAAAATCCAAACAATAAAAAATGAAATGATTATTAAATTGATGACATGCAAAATCTAAATATATTTCAAACTTGAACTAACGAAATCAGTGAATATGTTGAAAAAATTCGATATAAAGGAAAATTTCATTTACGATAAAATTCGAGTTAATCACAATTTTTCACGTTACCAGTTAAATCTTAGTGAGTTTTAGTCAAACTAAGGATTCTTACACAAAATATTTGAAAAAATTCAACAATATTTATTTTCAACCTTGAGAAAATCAGATTTTAATCATCTTCATAAGTAAAAAGCTTTTGTAATTAAGAGCAGTTCAATATTGTTTAAAACAAATGAGAAGAACACATTTCAATAAAATCGATGCTTATTTCTACTACATACTTTTGTTTCATCTTAGTACCATTACGTGCAAGTTCCATTGATATTCATCCGAATGCTAAATGGGCACAGAATGGTATCACTGTTGCTGGAGGAAATGGATCGGGCAGAGAAACCAATCAACTCTATTGGCCATGTGGATTGTACGTCGATGATGATCAAACGATTTATGTCGCCGATCAGGGTAATCACCGTATTGTGGAATGGAAATCTGGTGCAACGAATGGAAAAGTGGTTGCTGGTGGAAATGGATCAAATAATGGAGCTCATCAGTTAAACTACCCACGAGATGTGATTATCGACCAAGAGAGCGATAGTCTCATCATCTCCGATGTTAGGAATAAAAGAGTAGTTCGATGGCCTCGTCGAAATGGTACTCGTGGAGAAACAATTATTTCAAATATCGCTTGCGTCGGTTTGACAATGGACGACAATGGTTCTCTCTATGTCGTTGACAATGAAAAACATGAAGTGAGACGATATAAAATTGGTGACACTAAAGGAACAGTGGTTGCAGGTGGTAATGGAAAAGGAAATCGTCTCGATCAACTCTCTAATCCCCGCTACGTATTTGTCGATCGAGATCATTCAGTTTATGTGTCTGATCGTGACAATCATCGTGTAATGAAATGGGAAGAAGGTGCAAAACAAGGCATTCTTGTAGCCGGTGGTCAAGGAGAAGGAAAAAGTCTTACACAATTGAATCGTCCTCAAGGAGTCGTTGTCGATCAATTGGGTACTGTCTATGTGACTGATTCTTGGAATCATCGAATCATGCGTTGGCCAAAAGGAGCCACACAAGGAAGTGTCATTATTGGTGAAAATGGTCGAAAAGCGCAGTCGAATCAACTCTCTGTTCCCATTGGTTTATCATTTGATCGACATGGTAATCTCTATGTCGTCGATTTCGAAAAAGCTCAAGTACAAAAATTTAATATCGAATGAACTCAACACGATGAAGAATTTTATTTTATTTTTGTTCTCTTTCTCCTTTCAATAAATTGCGATTGAATGAAAAAAGCCATTGAAATTTATTCTATTCTATTCGTGCACGCGACCAGGAACCATTCTGGTGGAGCCGTGGCGAGCGTAAAGCTCCTGCACGTGCGGGAAAACCCACATCATCCACATGCACCCATCCGATGTCATATGTCAGTGAGTCTGGGGGCCCGATCGTGTGCCACGGACACCAAGACAGTTCCTGGCCAGGCTTTTAGGGACTACCCGGAAGTCCTTCTTATAAAGCGAA